AGACATACCCACACGCGAGGATGACAGTAGGGAACTTCCTTACCAAACTGCCCGCGTATCATTCTCTCTTTCTTTGTCTTTACAATTTTACATATTCTATAATTTTGCAATTCAATTGGCGTGCTAAGTTTTACAGTCTAATGATAAACATAGTGGCTCAAACATTTTCACCAAACCACCACTATTAAATCATTATACAAGCATACGCCAAGTGTTTGACAAAATTCCTATCAAATTTCTAAATTCATTGGAAATACTGTTTTATGATAAGTGCATTGAAACGTCAATATTTCTAAGTTGTACATTCATCCATTTCATTTAATAAAAATCCAACAAAGTTTTCACATGTCAAGTTTTCTAGTAGTCGATTCAAAGTAGACGGAATTGATTCAGGACATTAATTTTCGCTGCTTTCAACTCGCTTTGATAAAACAATTTTAAATCCTTGAAAAAGTAAGAGGTGATCTATTCACCCCCCTCTCGATCACTTGCCACACCGTCTAACATCCTTCTCATGAACGCCCAAGGAGCTCTCCCCGCTGAAAAGATCACGATTTAGATTGCAAGGAGGCAGCACAAAGACCCCCGCAGGAACCTTGTCACCTTCGGGCACAACACCTTTGACATCCTCCACGTGTTTCCTCTTCGAGGCGGGCTCGCCGACGGGAACCTGGGCGGGCTCGCCGACGGGAACCTGGGCGGGCTCGCCAGGGGAACCTAGGTTTTTGATGAAGAGGGGGAACCGCTAGCATGAGCAACAGATTTTGCCTGCTCTTGGAGCTGGGTGACCCTGTTCATTGGCCCCGAGGTGGATGTATTCTTGGGCCTCAACTTAAATAAGCGCTCGGAGAGGGACGCTATTCGACCGGAAATTAACAAAGAAACCATCAGTCATGGTTAAACAAGGATAATAATGCAGGCACATCCCCACAGGAAAAACAACAAAAATAATCATCGCGACCATATCCCCTACTTAAAATCCTCATGGCTTCCCCGTCTGAGGAACATTCGAGCAGGGCCTTCGTGTTGATAAACCTATTAACTAAGAGGTACTCCCCGTTGTTGTCGAAGATAAGGTTGTTTTTCACGTCCACACACCTCGCGAGGGAGAAGCTCCTAACATAAGCCGCCAGCTTCTCATAGGAGAGCTGGTCTTGAGCGTCTAATTCCTCAGGCTTTACAGCATGATACTCGGGCCTTTGTTCTAAGTGTTTCCATTGCCACTCAAGCGAAAATATGGCAACGAGCTGGGTAACTGGTTTCCTATCCTCCACCTCATCCACGCGAGTGTATAGGGAGTCAATGGTCGCGTCCATCAAAGGTTTCACAACAAAGTACCTCTCTTTGAAGTGTCAAATAGATTCCAGATAAGGCCTAAAGAGCTTTCCGAACTGTTTGAAGGACACCCACGCTTGCCCTCCTCCAATGGGTTGTCTTTGAAGGTGAAAGATATAGAAGAAGAGGGGCAGTATGGCCCCTATTTTCAGATACTCACAGACGAGCTCGAACGCCCGCATGAACGACAGCGCGTTTGGGCGAAGTTGAGAGGGCACCAATTGAAGCCAATGAAAAACCCCCACTTGGAAATCGTTGAAGGGAAAACGCATCCCCGCCTCTTTAAACGCGAACTCGTACATAGGAAAATTTTTTCCCGGATATGTCGAGCAGATTCTCCGTTGCAATGGGGAATCTGAAGAATCCAGTTGGCGGGGGCCCATTCCGCTCGAACCTCTAGACAGTTGAATGCGTTTGTTACATCGTGAGAAAAGCACAACCTTTTATTTTGAGGCTCGGGTGCGACCTAAGCCAAGGGGTCCTCATCAACGTTGGTTTCATCTTCATAGTTGACGGGAAGGACATCATCCCCGATCGAGTGTTCCATTATACCTGAAAAGCATGGGAAAACAGTGAATTCGACATTATCAAATTCACCCTTCCACCGCAAATCAAGTGAAAGGGAGATGAAGCGGTCGAGGAGTGGACCTCGACCCAAGCCCTCGACTACACGCTAAAGTGGACTAAACTTTCGTTGGGGATATCCAGTCAAACGGGCAAGAAGCCTAAGTCAACCCCCCTATCTGGGGAGTTCATCCCCGACATCATGGCTACTATTCGGGGAGATTATCCCCGACATCATAAACTCATGATCTTCAATGAATATTCATGAGTGTTCATCCCAAAACTCATGAACTTCAACGAACATTCATGAGTGTTCATCGCAGAACTCATGAATATTCATCCAGTCAAGGAAAATATTAGGGGTTTAATCTATAAACACTAAGGAAATACGCTATTAAGGAGATATAACTTACTTGGATGGAGGACTCTCGAAAGAAATCTGGAAAAGTTGAGAGGAGAGGATTCATGCGCGGGCAAGGGAAGTTGAAGAAGAAAACTTGAGAAATTAAAAATGAAACCCAAGGGTCCCCTTTTTATAGGTGACTCACACCCCACGAGGTTCATCACGAAAAGTCATCATTGTATTGGGCCTTTTAGACTCCCCATGAAGGGATGACACCCCAAAGCAGCAGCCACGTGGCTCAACAATCAGCCACATGCCCATTCTCAAGGGACAAACACGTCCCCGACATCAACACAAAACTCCCTGTGCGAGCACGAGACAACTGCCTCACACGAGGGAATGCTCGATACCATGGCTAAGACATGCATACAGGCACGTTCGTCATGATCCACCTCGAGGGAGAAATAACGCTCGACATCGTGACAACCCCTTGGAGATAGGCACGTTGAAAGAGAACTCGTGGAAGCTCCCCGTAACTTATACGCTCCTGTCGGGAAAACCACTGACCCAGTCGGTCTCACTGCTCGTTTTTCCACAAGTTCCCCGACACGTTCAAACAGGTTGTGCCCGACACAAGCAACAACTCGCTTCCTTTTAGAGGACTTCGACCTTCCTTCCCGAGCGAATTCTTCCCGGCCATAAAAGTTGAACTTAAGTCATCACCTTTTCACCTAAGGGAAATAACTTGGGGGGCTCCTGATCTGGATTGGGCCTGCACTTGCCCCACGGTTGGGAGGCCTAACCCAACACCCTTGTAAAAGGCCCAAAGGTAAGCAACCCAAGCTAAGGACCATTGGGAAGCTCCCCACGCATTCGTTGGGGAACGTGGCCCACGTGTCTACGTCACTGTCATCTTCACTGCCCTCCAAAAATCACGGGTCCAACCCATATTCTCACGGGGTAGTTGACCAGGGGAGTCCACTTTCTGGACTCCATACGCACGTAAGCCTTGGAAATCTTCATTATTGGGCCTCATCGTGGCCCAACAATGAGGACTTTGGCCCAGCGCTGGGGGCTATAAATACCCTCTCATTTGAGAGGGTCATATATTAATTCTCATACTCATACTCATACTTGCTTGCACTCTCCCTGAAACTTACTTTGGCATCAGAGTGTCTTGCAGGTACCCCCCATCTCGCTTTCAACTTCAACTCGACGTAAGGCTTAGACGATCCACTCTGGTCAGGTACGATCAATTATAATATGCCTAATTAAAGGACAATGTAGGTCAGAAGGCAAGAAATTAGCATAAGACCTTAGACCATGTATTACGGGCTTGTTGAAATTCCCCTAAAGAAGCAACTAACTCTACTCCATTTCAACTGTCATTTGGTCATGATGCAGTTTTTTTGTCGAAATTTATTTACAATCAACTAGAATTCAAAGACAAATTGAAATTCCTTCTGACCATTATTGGAATATGATATTGGACGGATTAGGTTATTTATATGAGGAAAGGTTAGCTACCTTGAATGTTCTCGTAAGAGAAAAAGAAAAAATAGCTAAGGCATATAATAAGAAAGTTAATTCGAAAACTTTTATAGTTGGTGATTACGTTTGGAAAGTTATTTTACCTATGGATCAAAAAGATATGAATTTAGGTAAATAATCACCAAATTGGGAAGGGACATTTTAAATAAATCGGATGTTTTTAAATAATGCTTATGAAATTGAAAAGTTGACTCTTGAATGTCAAATTATGAGAATAAATGGTAAATACCACTACTACAGATAATACATTTCATGACAAATCTTTCACCTCAGCAAAAACAACGAGGTACAATGTCAAGGCGCGCCATATTTTATTTTTAATTTTAATTTTAAAATAAAACTGACATTTTTCCTCAATTTATAATATAACCGGAAAAAAAAAATTCAAAACACACGTTGAATCCTACCTATTGCAGTTTATGTTTGACCATATCTAACGATGGATAAGTGCCTTCACATTTGATCAAGTATGAGTCCAATAGCTACATGTGAACTGAATCCTCGACCTTTTTGTAAATATACATATTTGAACAGATAATTAGACCTATGACCGACCTAAAACAATATTTATTATTTTTGTAAATATACATATTTGAACAGATAATTAGACCTATGACCGACCTAAAACAATATTTATTAATTACATTATCAAAATTCATTAATGAATCATGCTAAGATGTGTTTTAAGAATACATTTAAAGCACATGTTAAATTAATGATATTATAATTATAAAATTTTAAATATATTAAAATTATATTTAAGATTTCAAAAAATTAAATGCTCACATTACAGAATAATATCTCTACAAATAATTTATTAATTTAGTGTCTTTGAAACACATGTTATCATTTTTCGTTATCAATATATGTAAAAAATTCAAATACTTATAAATAGATATAATTGAAGTGTATAATTATAGGGAAGCGGTATTTTATTTTATTTTTTTTCATAAAAAGGGTCTATTAAATATAAAAAATTCCTCATTTTACCATTAATAATTTGATTTAATAAGTTTTTCTTTAATTCCACTGTTATTCGGTTTCGTGTTTTCCTCGACAAGGAACATTTTCGCGATTCTTCCATTTTCAACCACTTTCATTCATCTTTCTTTCATGATCCATTTCACCGCACACCCTGAGTTTTTCACTGATCTAAACCACAAAATTTCGATTTTTTCATCTTTTTTGCATTTGGGTTCTTGCGATCATGGCGTGGTATAGAAGAGGAAAGCTCGTTGTTGATGGTTTTCACACCTTGGCTTCGAGGGTTTCATCTCAAAAATCAATTTTTCAGCCAAGTTCAAGAATTCTCCAATCTGGGTTTAAAGGTGCTGAAGGTGCTAGCTTTAATGGGTTTTCTTCGTTTTCTTCAATTTCTAAGAGATTAGGTAAAGAGGGTTTTGAAGTTAATAAGAATTTTAGGAGATTTTACTATGTGGATCCTCGAAATGTGCAGCATTTTAGGGCAAGAGGGCCGAAACGTTGGATTCAGAATCCTAGACATGTGTTGATTGCTGTTGTAGTTGGTTCAGGTGTTTTTGTTACTGTGTATTTTGGAAATATGGAAACTGTTCCTTATACGAAGCGCACGCATTTGATTTTGATGTCGAGAGCGATGGAGAAGAAGCTTGGGGAGAGTGAGTTTGAGAAGATGAAGGTGTCTTTTAAGGGGAAGTTGTTGCCTGCAATACATCCTGAGAGTGTGAGAGTGAGGATGATAGCGAATGATATTGTTGACGCGTTGAAGAGAGGGTTGAGTAAGGAGAATGTGTGGAGTGATTTAGGGTATGCTTCGGAGAATACTACTGTGAGTGAAGAGAATGGGAGGGAGACACTTAGTGCGTTGACGGATAATGAAGGGAAAGTTGAAGGGAATTGGCACCGAGAGGACGAGGTTCTTGATGACAATTGGGTTCATAAGAGTAGGAAAAAAGGTTCGCAGCCTGATACGGGGCATTTAGATGGATTGAATTGGGAGATTTTGGTTGTGAATGAGCCGGTTGTTAATGCCTTTTGCTTACCCGGTGGGAAGATAGTTGTATTTACGGGTTTGCTTGAACATTTTCGAAGTGATGCAGAGATAGCAACTATTATTGGACATGAGGTAATCATTTGATTTGTTTAACAGGCTAGGCCTATTTGGGTTGATTTAATTGAACTTATCTACTTGTGTAAACAAACACCTGCGAGACTGTTTGAGAGAGCTTATAGAAACAACTTATGTCATGTCTGTAAGTTGTTTTCATTTCAGCTTATTTCTATAAGCTCTCTAGGTTAGCTAATGATAATGGCTTATAGTTTATATGAGAATAGTTTGACTTTATTTTATCTTTTTTTGTTAGAAAAATAGTTTATACATAAGCAATTATATGATAAGCTCTTATGCTAGAAACACTTAATTAAGCTATTTATTCAACCAGGGTTATTGTTTCTGCAATTTAATATGTTTAGGAGGCAAAATCTAACACTTTCCCGCTTGATAATTAGGTTGGACATGCTGTGGCTAGACATAGTGCTGAGGGCATGACAAAGAATCTGTGGTTTTTTATTCTGCAATTGGTACTTTATCAATTCGTCACGCCTGATATTGTCAACACAATGTCATCTCTTTTTTTACGGTTGCCTTTCTCCAGACGGTAATGATTCCTTCATTAGCTTTCTTTGTAACCATTTGAGTTTATGTGTTCTTCTTTAATAATAGTAGATTCATTTCATTGATACATAGGTTATGTTTGTTAGACAGGTTAGAATATGAGTGAACGCTAATTATTAAGAGAAGTAAAAATCATGAAATAAGTTGTGGCTATATCTTTGTGTATATATTCTATGGTTAGAAATATCTCTGGATGATGGTAATATCTTTGTGTATATATTCTATGATTAGAAATATTTGTGGCTAAACCCAATTTATTCACAATATTTCAGGATGGAAATAGAAGCTGATTACATTGGACTTCTATTAGTTGCATCGGCGGGCTATGATCCGCGCGTGGCACCTAAAGTCTACGAGAAGTTGGGAAAAGTCACAGGCGAGTCTTCGCTTAGAGATTATCTCTCTACTCATCCATCTGGAAAGAAAAGAGCAGAGTTGCTTGCTCAAGCTCAGGTAATGGAAGAAGCTCTTACTATGTATAAGAATGTACGAGCTGGACGCGGGGTTGAAGGATTTCTTTAGGACTGCCATAACTTCTTTTTTTATTTTATGAAAGTATACTGACAAGTTTATTATACTCGGCCCTTAGATTGAATGCTCAAATGTGGGATTTCCCAACTGCGCGAAATCTCATTATATTTGTTGGCTTATGCGATTTGGTTCTATTCTCCATCCCCGTCCCTAATCTCTGTTACGGGAGAATATTTTCCCCATTCTCACGGAGATCTACGGAGATCGAATCTTAATTTTTTTTTATATTTTTCAATCAAAAATATGACACTAATATTTTGTTTTTTTTTAAAACACATATTTTACATTTTTTTAATAAAAATAATAAAGATATATCTTGCATCAATAACTAAAAAAAGAAAACAAAAATAACTTGTTGTTGCTACTTCTTTTATGTAAAAAGATAAAAAATATTAACACAACATGTTGCTATCATGTTTCCGCCTAATTTACTATCATAATATCGTTGTTGTCCACTGCAAGTGGTTGAGTGGTTGATTATGTGTGAGTGTGACAAATCCATAACTACTAATTTGTTAATTGAATGAAAAATATGTTACTAAAATGGAAGTAAATTGATTTTTCATGAGTGATTATCATAAGTACAATGAACAAAAGAGAGTGGTTGTTGTGATGATGATGAGAATGTAGGAGATGATGAATAGAGTAGACAAAGATAATTGAGAAAATAAAAGAAGGAGACGTGTGTACGTTTTATGTATTGGGTGCACTTTTCTTTGATTGGATACTTGGATATTGAAACAATACATTTTACAATAAAACATAAAAATAAAATGATCCACTAATGACTCTTTGTTTTCTAATACATTAATGTTTTTTATGTAAAATTATATAGCTGTAAATTATATAATATTTAAAATATAAAAGTTAAATAATATACTCGAAGTCGGGGAATCTACGAGGCAGAGGGTATTTTCTCAATCTCTGTCCCAATCTCTGTCCCAAAGTGTCATTGGGGAAATTTTCCTCCATTTCCGTCCACACGGGGAAAAAAATCTCCAATTCAGTGCTCTAAACAGATAATCTCCACAGAGATTCCTATTAACATATGCAAATTGACATATCTAAGTTAGACGCCTCTTTAAGCTGAGATCTGTTCTAAGTGGTATCGGTTGGAAAATGGAGGTTAGATGTGGGATGCATAATCATAGGCTAGATGAGGGCTTGGACGACTCTGACATTTTAGGACATCTAAAAGATCATGAAAAAAAGTTTGTGAATGACATGACAAGTACAATATGACACCAAGGTACATCATTTCTGCTTTGAAAGACAAAGATTCAGAAAATCTCACGAGTATTACCTAGGTATATAGAGCTAGAGCAACATATAGATTGAGCAAGAGAGGTGCAATGAGTGAGATGTAAATATTATTGAGTCTTATTCACTAAGAGAAATACATGTGTTGGATTAGAAATAGGGAGAATTCAGAAATTATGGCTGAAATCTTCTGAATACATCCTGATTCAGTAAAATTGTTGAATATGTCTCATCCCAAAATATGTTAAGTGAGCTAGTTGTTTATGTGTATTTTAATCATGTAGGTATCGGCTACCACTGCTGGAGATTGTTGGTGTTACATCAATAAAATTAATGTTTTCAGCTGACTTTGCCTATTTGAAACATGAAAGGGAGGAGAATTACAAATGGGCACTACAAAAGTTTAAAGAGTTGTTATATTCAGAAAAATTGCTTCTTAATATTGCAGTGACGGACCGGGAACTTGTATTAATGAATGCCATGGATTTCGTGTTTCCAAATGCAACTCATATGTTGTGTGCGTTCTATATTTCAAAAAAGCGTGAGCATGAAATGTAAAGAGTATTTGAAATTAGAAAGACAAGAACATGTCATGGATCAATGGAGCAACATCATGAATTCAAATACAAAAGGTGAGTTTGATGTACATTTCAAACACTTCGAGAGTGTTTGTGGTGATATTCCATCTTTTGTCAAGTATGTGAATGAAACATGGTTAACACCATATAAAGAAAGATTTATTGCTGCATGGACTAACAAAATTACTTATTTAGGAAACACAACAACAAACAGGTACTTGGATCGTGACATTTTAATGTCATTATTATACATGTTTATGTTTCGATATTAATTTAAAACATGTTATTTTAGGGCAGAATCTACACATTGGAGGCTAAAAAACTTGTTGACTACATCTCGTGGTGATTTATGCCAAAGCTGGGATGCTGTGAACACCATGTTAAAGTTGCAGCTAGGTTCTATCAAAGTACCGTTTCAAAAAAATATAGTCAATATTGAGCATCGGTATAACATCCAATTCTATACTAAGTTGCACGATTTTGTCTCAAGACACTGTATACAGCTCATTGGGAAGAAACTAGAAAGAGTAGAATATGTTGGTTCAAGCAAGGAGAGGTGTGGTTGTTTCATTAAAATAACACATGGGTTACCATGTGCGTGTCAGATTGTCGGTTTTCAAATTTTAGACACCCCTATACCTTTGGAATCAATTCATGTATTTTGGACGAAAATGCACAATTCAGAACATGATGTGAGTCCTGAAGAGTGTAAGTGAGATTTAGAAGAAGAGTGTGAAGATTTGAAGAGATATTTCAGTATTTTGGATATTATGGATCAGAGGGTGTTGAAGAAAAAAGTACGTGATCTAACCTATTCATCCAAAACTTTAATGTGTCCACCGCCGGTGAAGTACAAGCCAAAAAGGAGAGTTAAGAAGAGTACAAAGGATGAAGAGAGTGATGTGCATCGTGATCCTAGTCAGTGGAAATATAGTGAGGCTTTGTAGGGGAGTCAGACTACAAAGAGATCGTGTACAAAACCAAGTGGAAGTAAAACGTCATGTTAAGAGTCCCACATCGGACAATATATGCCTGAACATGTGTTTATAAGTGGGGGCAATCCTCACCCTACAAGCCGGTTTTGTAGGGTTGAATTAAGCCCAACCACATCTTAATTTGGTATCAGAGCCTCGTTTAAGATCCAGTGGGCCATCCACCATTTATTTCCACGCTCCAGTTGTCTAGTCCTGGGCGTGAGGGGGTGTGTTAAGAGTCCCACATCAGACAATATATGACATGAACATGTGTTTATAAGTGGGGGCAATCCTCACCCTACAAGCCGGTTTTGTAGGGTTGAATTAAGCCCAACCACATCTTAATACGTCAATCATGTCGATTAGTAGACAACCTTCTACCAAATCTTTAAGAGATGAGTACTTGTCACAGTTTCCTGCTTTCTTTTATTCATACATGGATGACATTATTGATGTCGAGAATGATGGAAACCGTGGTTTCCTTTGCATTTCATCTTTATTGAGATGGGGAGAAGATTCATGTTATTTGGTTCGGAAGCAATTAGATAGTCAAATTCATCAACACGCTTACTTGTTTTTCAAGTTGTTCTATGACATTCTCTCTGTTGTTAGGAAATTGTTATAAATAGAATACTTAGGTGTGCTGGATAGGGTAAAATGGATGTTGATTTCTGATATAGATGTCGATTCCTGACATGTATAAGTGGAGGATGAGATGTTAATTCCTTCTCATAAACCCGACTCAAAATGCCCTGTTGTTTTAAGCCTTTAATTTAAGAGCTCATCCATTTAAAAATGGGGATTGATTTTCCCACCTTAAACATTGTTTCTCCACCTTAATGAAAAAACTAAAACTACATGGAAATACACTCAAATAGATTAAATTTTATTCATTTGTTTTGTTAAAAAAAATCATTAAATATATTTCCGTAGGCTGGGAAAAGTCACCCTATGAGAATTAACATCACTATGTCTGGAAAGAAAAGTCTAATAATCCTAAAGCTTGGTTTGATATCTTGATCAAATTATAGGAACAATACTGTATAAATAAGCCAGGATTATCAATATACAACATGATAAGCCATGGATAACAACGGAGAAGGCAACCAAACCATATATGATAAATCATAGATAACAATGGAGAAGACAACCAAAACCACATAGTGAATGACACTAGCTAAAACAAATTCAAATTAAATATCAGGCTGCAACTCTAAGGTAGTGTTTGGCATATTAATGGAATGGAAGTAGATATCTTTGCTTCCATTCTATGCCATGAAGTCAAAATTTGCTACTCTTTCTAAATGTCATGTTTTAATTTATACATACAAATATTAAACATGTTCTACTCCCTCCATTCTCTTTTATAAGGAAGAAAAAAAAACACATTTCACATATATCAATGAATTCTTTAACTTCTATAAAAATGAGTTAAGTATTTACACCATTACCCTTTAGTAATTTTTTTAAATAAATATTTATAATTATGAGCCACCCAAGTAATAATTAGGACATTAATTGGTGGTTTTTACAACAACACATTTCCAACTTCTTTTCAAGTAACTTATTTTCATTCTTCTTTAAAAAAAGTTTGTCAAATTTTCATTCCAAATTTTCGTTTTGCCGCTTTCTTTGTTCTTTAAATTGAAAACTAAAATGAATTTGCTTTCATCTCTCTTATTTGTTCATGACTGGAGTATCTCTTCAATTATCAACATGCCTTTAAACCTTGATTTAAACAAAGCTCCTATAGAATTTTTGGATGATGAAAGTAGTACAACTTCCATGAATCCTTCTTCAAGTTTGATTATGGGTAACAACCAAACAGATCAAAAAAATTTTGATGATGAAAACAGAACAACCTCCATGAATCATTCTCCAAACTTGTTGACGGATTACAACACATCACCTTTGGAATTTTTTGATAATGAAAATATTACAACTTTCATGAATCCTTCTTCAAGCTCTGTAATGAATGATTTATTTTTCGATGAAGATGATAGCGAAGAAGATGAAGAAAGCGCTCAAATAATATCTCAAGAAGGTACATCAATTTTTAAAAACATTCTAAGATTATTGATTTGTTTCTTTAAAAGAGGAATATATGTCCAGTCAACAACGATCATTTTGTACAACTTTCTATTGAGCATCAAATTATTGATATTGTATCATTTTAATT